TTAAGCTCCCATATACAGTGACGGTCACGTAATTAAAACATTTACTGTGGTAACAAATTTTTGATCAGCCCTCGATTCGTTGGAAGCATTTATATATTTTTTTAATTCAGAACACTTAGATATACTGCACTTAAGATATTTAGTGAGAAAATAGGAAATTATTGCATGCAATTTTTCATAAATAACGGTTTTTATGAAAAACAAGTGAAAAAGCGTTAAGTTCGGCCGGGCCGAACTTTGGATACCCTCCACCATAGTTATACTGACAGATACATGCAATGAAAATATAGGGAACATACCAAAAAGTGGGAATATACCGATAATTCTACAAACCGATTTATGTACACCATTATGTACACCAAATACAAACTTCAGCAATTTTTAATGGGGATTTTTCCTAAAATCTGTAAGATCCAAAAAGTGGACTGATACTGATAATGCATGGTAGAGTCTAAAATCCTCAAACTACTGTAATTTACATTACAAAGGGTATGCTTAAAAGGTGGCCCAATATTGATTACATAGTGTAGGAAATAGTGAATATTTGTGGATATCATTATATGACCGGTATATACCAATTTTGAACCCAATATTTTAATTGTTTATCTCAATTCTTTCCTTCAGGAGGTATCACTATATTGAGAAGATGCCTAAATGACTACCGATATATTTCATTATCGTCAAAGATTGTTAAACAGTCTATGTAGGCTACAAATAGACTATTCCCCGTAACGACTACCCAACCGCAACACACGGAACAAATCAAATAACTATTTTAATATAAAACCAGTAAGGAAAGTAGTAAATTCGACGGGGCCGACTATATGATACCCTTCACCACTTTGGGTATATTCAACAGATAAATCCTAACAGACGTCGCATTTTTCAAGGACCAGTAAAATGAAATTGGATCCATAAACATGTCATTCTGCAACCGATACTAAATTTTTCATTTGGTCAGATATAGAAGCTATATCTAAATCTGAACCGATTTCAGGAAACTTAACACACATCATTCTAGACCTAATTCATTACGCTGTGCCAAATTTCGTGCAAATCGAAAGACATATATGGACTTTGGTGCACTATTTACATTAAATCGGTCGAAAATGCATATGGGAGCTATATCTAAATCTGAACCGATTTTCGCGAAACTTAACACACATCATTCTAGACCTAATTCATTGCTCTGTGCCAAATTTCGTGCAAATCGAAAGATATATATGGACTTTGGTGCACCATTTACATTAAATCGGACGAAAATACATATGGGAGCTTATCTAAATCTGAACCGATTTTTAAGAAATTTTAAACACATCATTCTAAACCTAATTCATTACGCTGTGCCAAATTTCGTGCAAATCGAGGGATATATTGTCTTTGGTACACCATTTACCTTAAATCGAAGGAAAATATATATGGGAGCTATATTTCACGAAACTTAACACACATCATTCTGGACCCAATTCAGCACCCTATGCTAAATTTCGTGCAAATCGAAAGATATACGGGGGCCCATTTACCTTAAATTGGACGAGACTATATATGGGAAATATATCTAAACCTGAATCGATTTTCTCGAAACTTGACACACATCATTTTGGACCTAATTCAGTACTCTGTGCCAAATTTCGTGCAAATCTAAAGATATAGAGGGACTTTGGTGCCCCATTTACCTTACTTCGGATGAAAATATATATGGGAGCTATATCTAAATCTGAACCGATTTTCACTTAGCACACATCATTCTGGACTTAATTCAGTACGCTGTGCCAAATTTCACGCAAATCGTGCCAAAAATCACGCAAAGATATATAGGGACTTTGGTGCACCATTTAATTAAAATCGGACAAAACTATATATGGGAGCTATATCTAAATCTGAACCGATTTTCACGAAACTTAGCATACATCAATCTGGACATAATTCAGTACTCTGTGGCAAATTTCGTGCAAATCGAATGATATATAGGGTCGTTGGTGCACCATTTAATTAAAATCGGACAAAACTATATATGGGAGCTATATCTAAATCTGAACCGATTTTCTCGAAACTTGGCACACATCATTTTGGACCTAATTCAGTACTCTGTTCCAAATTTCGTGCAAATCGAAAGATATAGAGGGACTTTGGTGCCCCGTTTACCTTAAATCGGACGAATCTATATATGGGAGCTATATCTAAATCTGGACCGTTTTTTATGAAACTTAGCACACATCATTCTGTACTTAATTCAGTACGCTGTGCCAATTTTCATGCAAATCGAAAGGTATATAGGGACTTTGGTGCATCATATATGGGAGCTATATCTAAATCTGAAGCGATTTTCTCGAAATTTAGCACCTATCATTCTGGACCTAATTCAGTACTCTGTGCTTTGTTTACAATTTAACATCTACAGACCGACGGACATCCATAAATCGACTCAGAAAGAGATTCTATGCATATTCTCTAAAGGAACCATGTGTCTATCTCGTGCCTGTTACATACATATGCACAAAGACATAATACCCTGTACCACAGTGTGGTGAAGGGTATAAAAAGGGGGTTATATAGGGACTACCCCTAAAAACGGGTGAATATTAATAATTTTTGGTGGGGAGATTTGTTAACATATACGACTACAAAATGCCAAATTTCAGCCAATTCGGTTGAAAAACGCGTTAAAGAACTTCAAAATATCGAAAATTGCGGGTACCCTTATATAGGGGCTACCCGAAAAAATTGACCTATATTTATAATTTTTTTGTGGAGAGATTTGCTACCCAATAAGAACTCAAATTACTAAATTTTAGCCAATTCGGTGAAAAAATCCGGTAAAAACCCCTCAAAAACTGGAAATTGAAAGGTACCTTTATATGGGGACTACCAGAAAAAGTGGACCTATATTTATAATTTTTAGTGGGGACATTTAGTACCCAATAAGAACCCAATGTACCAAATTTCAGCGAATTCGGTTGAAAAACGCGCTCAAGAACCCTAAAATACCGAAAGTTGGGGGGTACCCTTATATGCGGGCTACCCGAAAAAATTGACCTACATTCATAATTTTTAGTATAGAGATTTGCTACCCAATAAGAACTCAAAGTACCGAATTTCAGCGAATTCGGTCGAAAAATGCGATCAAACCCTCAAAAATACCGCAAAATTGGGGGTACCCTTATATGGGGGCTATCCCAAAATATGGACCTATATTTATAATTTTTTGTGGAGACATTTAGTACCCAATACGAACCCAATGTAGCAAATTTCAGCGAATTCGGTTGAAAAACGAGCTCAAGAACCCCAAAATACTGAAAACTTGGGGGTACCCTTATATGGGAGCTATGCCTAAACGTGGACCGACCACCTTCGAGCTTGACCTGCCTGCAGACAAAATACGACTATGTGCAAAATTTTGGCGATCTATCTCAACTCGTTTAGACGCTAGAGTGATTACAACAGACGGACAGACAGACGGACATGCTTAGATCGTCTTAGAATTTTACGCTGATCAAGAATATATATACTTTATACGGTCGGAAATGATTATTTCGATGAGTTACAAACGGAAAAACAAAACGAATTGAAGCGAAAGAGACCTTATGTTGGCAGCAAATCTCTCATACAATATATATGTTGTATGATTTGTTACCATTTTAAAGGTAACTTCATAATGCCTTTCTCATAAAAGTCCTTCTCCCTATTTGCAAAAACTCTAGTAGTCGATTTTTCCTAAATGTCAAGTTTTTATCAATAAAGAAATTTAGCAATGCAATAAAAAGATGATAATCGCTTGTTGCCAAGTCCGGACTGTATGACGTATGCATTAAAACTTCTCAACCACGATCTCGAATTTTCTGGCGAGTCAGTGTAGATGTGTGTGGCCTAGCGTTGTCCTGGTGGAACACGAAAACTCTCCTGTTGGCAAACTGGTTTTGAATCCAGCTTTGTTTAAATGGTTTAAAGCAGTTTTATGGTCGATTTTTAGCTCCTGAGCGATGTTACGACTGCTAACATGCCCGTCCACTTCGATAATTTCTTTGATTTATCGACATTTTCGACGACCAGGCCTACCTGTGCGAGGTACATTTTCAACATTATTGGCTGTTACAGTATCGGAACCATAAACACAATTCACAATTTTAGCCTCTGAAGGACTTACCCAATACATTATGGGGGAATGTATATACATTATGGGTTCTCACTCCATCTTATGGCGGAGGTTTTAAAAATATTCATTTCAACATCTCAAAAATATGTCCTTATCACTTAAAATGTTGTTCATTATTTCGGTATTCACAACAGAATGCAATCCCTAATTCTATTAGACATATCAATTTCGCCTTCCAAAACGAATAACCGACCAACAAACATTCGTCATTGTTAAATTCAAAGACGTTTAAAGTTGTTTGTAGGAAAATCACGCTTTAACTAGTTCGTGTGATTTGTACGCCTCCACACATTTTCTATGGGTAATGGGTCTCTGCTTGCCATGGTTGAGTGGTGGCAAGATTATTTTGGCTTTTTTATTCTTTTACAGGTCATGTAGCTTGGTTATGCTGTTGTAAGCATTTCTTGTTACTACTGCTGCCACTACTACAAACAACTACACGGTATCCCAAACCAGTCAGCCCGCCAGCCAACCGAATATCCAGCAATAGCAACAATTCCTTGTTTTTGCCATTGATCCGGCCGCTTTGGCTGTTGTAGCTATTCCTCATGTTGATTGTTACTTCGTACTCATCGTTGCTGTTGCCGTTGTCGTCGTCATTGTATTCGTGCTCATATGTGTAGTGTGCCATATAGTCATAGAAGTGGAAGACTTACTGCATCCGTTCGCCATTAAAGTAATGGAAAAACCTCCATGTAGGTGTGTGAGTGACTATATATCTCTATATGTGTGTGTGTGTGCGTACACATAACCAGTCTATGTTGGGGCTCCCAGTTTTTGTATCAAGTTCCTTTGATTTTGTTTTGTTATTCTTTTTTTAGCCCTCTTCTTGGCTCTGTGAAATCCTATGGATGATGACTACAACGCCGATGATGATGATGACGACGACGACGATGAGAATGAAGATGACTATATATGCTTAGTGTTATTGTATTGATTCAATTCAAAACCTATTCAGGGTGTTCCGTTCATATCTTTTCGTCTATGGCACAATATCCTTAAAAAAGGACGCAAAAAACGAAACGAGAAGACGAAGGAAAAAGTCTAAAGACCAACGAACGGGCGAACGCCTCTTTGTAAAGCCAGAAGATTTCTTACATTTCAATGTCTTTGGTTAAGCAAGAAGGGCCAGATCTACCACCCACTCTCTGAACTTTGGAACTATCCTCCATGCAATTTTAAGTTCATATTGTATTGCTAAGGCATTGATTGTTTTGTTGCGTGTGTGTCTGTCTGCCCGTTTCTTGGACTGTGTAAGGATGTGCCTGCTGCTGGTGGTCCGTATCAAAAGAAGAGTGCCTTTTTCCGATTGTCTATGGCCACCATATACATATATTATGGAGACTACACACACATAAACAACAAAAAAGAAGAATACAAAAATAAACCCAATGTAGTGGGATTCTACCATGGAAACCGAATAGCACCAGAACTAACATAATCTCTACCATCGGTATGTGGATAACAAAACATACAGATGCAAAAACACAAACGAACATACATACATATGTATGGATACGTTCAATTGTATTCAAGAATATATTCCATCCATCGGTATATTGAATCGTATACAGTATGCGCATAGAAATGTGTGGGTGCGGTTATATGTAGGTAGGTGCTCTCTTTAAAAAAACTGTCTGCTTATAAAAACTTAATTCATTTTATATTTTACTTCGAATAATCGAAAAAATAGTTATTTTTTCAATGGATATGGATAGTTTTGTATTCATGCTGAGTGTATTATATACACTCAAGGAAAAAATTATTAGATGTGTACAAAATATTCGAATATGAATAAACCTATTATGCATTGAGATGAAATATGGAAATACACCTACATCGTATTTCTTGATATTTCTATCACTTACTGCTGCTTGGTTCCCTGTGTTCCCGGAATATGCGGAAGCTGTATAAAAATCTGGACCCATTTTCATCATTTGTTTGTCCTAGGATCAAAAATATGGTGTGTACCAAATTTTTATATTTATTTTTTATCAATCGGGCAATAAATGCGATTTTATATCAATCAGGCAATAAATGCGAAAAATACATCTACACATTCCACATTTTCTTCGACTATAAACCCGCATTTGACAGCCTTATCCGTTCAGAGGTGTTTAAAAACATGTCTGCGTTCGGCATTCCCGCCTGTTTAACAAAGTGGGTCTGGTAGTAGTGTTTGAGAGAACAATTCAACGAAAGATCTATGGGCCGATCTGCGTCCACGATGAATATCGCCATTGTCAGACGTATCGAGCTGCAGCGACGGCGTTGGTTTATACTGAAGGGGAAGGCCACAAATTCGATAAAAATATGTTCATATCACAACAAAGTAGACAACATTTCGTAATAAGGCTTATGGAACAAATGTTCTGCCACAAGCCATCTAAGTACTTATGTAAGTCTATATAATGTTATCTTCCAAAATTCGTTACTTTAGGTAGTTAGTAATTTGGTATTTTTGATACTCATTTGTTAGGAAATCTCTCTACTAAAAATGATCAAAATCAGATCACTCTTTGGGGTGGCCCCCGTATATAAGTACCCCCTAAATATCCGGATCATGGTGATCATGGACTGGTTTTTTTTATCGATTTGGCTGTAATTTGGTACTTGAAATTGTCAATTCATCTATATACACCTAAGTCTTTTTCTAAACGGTCTTGTACACGGTTTCATATAACACAGTTTGAAAATTGATTATTTTTAATTTTTTTAGAAGATTTTATTTTATTTAGCACGATTTGAAATTTTATGTACTTAAATTTTTTTGTCAAATTTAATTTTTGCGAAGTATGTTCATATCACAAAAAAAGTATTTATGAAAGAAAAAAGTTTGAAACCATCGATAGTATCGATAGTTTGCGAACACTAGCTTAAAGATTTAAGTGAATTCCTCTTTAGCGCATACAAACAATTTTTACTGGTCAAAGCAAATGTGAATAGCACTATTTTAGGGAAATTCCCTTTAATTTTGGAATTTAGTGCTAAGAGGTACTAAAAAGTACTAAATGTTATATTTGAATGGAATAGGTAGATATACATATCTGAAACTTGGTATGTAGATTAACCTAATACAAATTGAATGACTTGTAAAAATATTTTTTGAAAATTAGTCCTAAAATGGTACTAAAAAGTACTAAAACTGTATTACACCGGAGCGGTTGGAAGTAGAACTCAGAAATTTTGTTATGCAGCTTTGACAATAATAGGGGAAGCGGCATGTGTAGACATGTTTTGGAATTTAGTACTAAAGATACTAAAAAGTACTAAATAATGTATTTGAATGGAACCGTTAGAGATACAATTCTGAAACTTGGTACGTAGTTTAAGTTATTACAAATATAATAATATGCAAAATATTTTTTGAAAATGAGTACTAAAGTGCACTAAAACTGTATTACACCGCAACGGTTGAAAGTAGAACTCTAAAATTTGGTATTTGGTATACAGCATTGTCAATGATAAGCGAATCAGAATGTGTGAACAAATTTTGGAAATTAGTACTAAAGGTAGTAAAAAGTACTAAATATTTTACTACGATGGAACAGGTAGGGATAAGTATCTGAAATTTGGTATGTAACTTAATGCATTACAAATAGAATAATAGGAAAACATATTTTTTGGAAATTAGTACCAAAATGTACTAAAAAATTATAGATAGTATATTGCAAAATAACTGACAGAGATAGAAATGAGAAAGTGCGCATATAGCTTTAACTATTACAAATAAAATACTATGCATATTTTTTTTTTTTTTTTTTGGAAATTAGTATTAATGTGGTGATAAGAAGTACTAAATAATAAAATACAATGGAACAGGTAGAAATAGAAATATGAAACCTAGTTTGTAGCTTACTCTATTACATATATGCATACATTTATTTTTAAATTAGTACTAAATACTGTAGTATAATGGATCCGGAAGAAATAGTACGTATATTTAACTCTTACATAGAGTTAAATTTTTAAAAGTAGTACTAAAATGGTACAAAATATTAAATTAAAATGGAAAAGTTAGAGATTAAAATCTGTAGCTTAACTATTACAAATAGAGCGATATAAATAAATATTTTTCGAAAATTAATTAAATATAAATGTAAATTTAGAGTACACAAATTTCCAACTCTTAGTATTTGGTTTATTGGAAATTAGTACTAAACGGCACCAAAAACATAAAATATTGCACGGGGTGCAAGTGTAATTCTGAAATTCGGTATGTTGTTTTGTATATTTTAAAAAGTGGAATACGCCAAAAAGTTAGTAAACTGTACTAACAAGTACTAAATATTGTGTACGGTAGAACGGATAAATATAGGAACCTGATATTAAATACTTATCTGGAACTATAACAATAAACTTCTATGCATAAATATTTTCCGGAAATAAATTCTAAAATGTGCAAAATATTGTATACGGCGGCACGGGTGGATATATAATTTGGTACAAGGTTGTTTGACATATGTACTTAAAATACTAAATATTTCATTTTTACTAAAAATTACTGACAGTTATAAGAAATATAGTTTCCAACCCCACATCTATCTATACTACAGAGAAAAATTATGTGAATTTTGGTTTGAACTTTCGATGTAGTGAGCAAATATGCCGCTGGACACAGCAAGTACTAAATTAGTGGCACTTTTAAATGCAAATGATTCTCCAATGATGTTACTGCAGCGACTTCCGATGTAATGAGTAATGTGCTGAATTTTCATGTCGAGGATATATAAAAAATACCGACAATTTTTTCCAATTAGGATTTTGTAACAGTTAACACACGAGAAATGCTAAATTTCTGAAATTTTTATATTACAAATTCGTACCATAAGGGTGCACAAGTACTAAAATGTGCTACATATTTTACAATTAGTATTAAATTACCGAAAGGAACAAAGAAGTTTAAAAAAACGTCGAGAAAATAGTACACTTTCAGGAAATAAAAATACAAGTTCATAAAAAATGTTTTCAAATGTATGCTTAAACCGAATGTATATTAATTACTAGATCCGCTAACGACGTAGCGGGCCTATGCTAGTATTCTATAAAGTATGCAATTCTATGATGATTTAGTAATTTCCGTCCGTCTGTATTTTTTTGTAATCATACTATCTTCAGAGAGTATCGAGATACAATACTATATTATAATGCTGAGCAAGCATGGGAACTGGTGCCCTTGTTTACATGTATCAAAAAGCTCGTTCTCTGCGATCTCTTCTCTTTTTTACTCTCCTCTCATTTTGCACACCTCGACTATATAACGATACCGAAGTATCAATACGTTCTCTTCTCTTTATTACTCTCCTCTCATTTTGCACAACTCGACTATATAACGATACCGAAGTATCGAGATAAAAAACGAAAATGTTGGGTTCCAAATTAGTCTCCCTTGAGGTATAGCCTCATATAGCTTTGCGGATTTTAGACACGCGTTATAAATATCGGTCCACGTTTTGGGTTAAGGTTAAGGTGAGTTAAGGGGAAAATTTCCCATTAGAAATTGCAGAACATTTGAATTTTTTATACCTTGGTACACTTGTTGGTATATCGCCTATATTAGTTCATGAAGTTTCCCCATTGCAAATAAATGGTATTTTCGGGAAAAGTTGGCAATTTAGTATTTCTTGTCGTCAGTAGTTTCGAAGACATCTCACATCCGGCCTGTTCTAGCATACATCGGAGGTTTTAGCTAAACTTCCCAACCTTATTCGATGTAGTATAGTGCTGGAACCTGCAACACACGTAACTGTCAGTATGTGCTTCACAGAAGTTGTAACGGTTATAATATTTCCCAAGTTTTAAAGGTGTGAACCTAGACTTCAGCTATGTTACAAAATCTCTAATATGGAACCACAGAAGCTCTGTTAAGACATTACTTAAGTCATTGGTTATAATCATTACATTTTAGATACTACTAGTACATATAACTA